TGTATTAGAAGCTAAGATGTAATGTCACACACGATGAACAAGATGTAATGTGAGTAATGTCAGTTTTACACACACGATTAACATGATGTAATGTGAGTAATGGCAGTTTTACACACACGATATAACATGATGTAATGTGAGTAATGTCAGTTTTACACACACGATTAACATGATGTAATGTGAGTAATGTCAGTTTTACACACATGAATAACATGATGTAATGTGAGTAATGTCAGTTTTACACACATTAGTAACATGATGTAATGTGAGTAATGTCAGTTTTACACACACGATTAACATGATGTAATGTGAGTAATGTCAGTTTTACACACATGAATAACATGATGTAATGTAAGTAATGCTAAGTAGCTGTATTTTATTGATTTTACTGTTTGAGCTAAAACAGAATTTTGGGTTTTTTACTCATGCACTTTTGGATGGACTGATTATTGTAATAAGTAATAAATTAAATATTTTAATGATATGTTAAAGTTCTACTTAAGTTTCTATTAAATTCTTTCTGATTTCCAACTATTAATTCACACATTGTATTCACATTCACTCCTATGTCTTCCTACTCAAGAAACAAAAACTTAAAGCATACAATTGCTACACTGCCTAAAATACTAATGAAACAAGAGTATTTAAGTTTTACGGATGAACTCACCACATTAGGGGGTTTCCACCCACAGCCAGGTAGAGGTAGTCCGTCGGCGCCTAGAGGACACGGAGCATCTAAACCAGGAACCCCCTGTAAGTGAAGTGTACATATATTATTATTTACAATTTCTTCCATCATGTTGAACTGCAAAGTTCAAAATGCCGTTCCGTTATATTGATGCTACAGTTTAGTCCCTCGTGAAATACAGCTGTAAGAGAAGGAAAACTATGTCTGACGTTAACCCTTTCACTGCAGCTGGGACGTATATATTTACCAGTGCTCCCACCCCCTCACACTGCAACTGGGACAATGTTTGTGCCTTTTTTTTGCTGAGTCCAGGTTCATCATCTTGACTATCATCATTAGGTGGAGAGCTAGCATCCTCTTGTCTCTTCATCATCACACATTTGAACACCATTTGACTCACTTTTACTATCTTCTAAACTATACGAGTCAGGTGCATCAAGCATATTTACATAGTAATTAGGGTTACTACTCGCCGCTCTAGAGACGCAGACACGGTCAGCATGCAGTTGTCGTAAATTCCACTTAGGCATCTTGTTGGTTACTGAAGAGCTGACTGGAAAACATTGAGGAAAATCATATATCAACATTAGGTGGGATGTCAATAAATACTTTCCAACTGATTTAACTCCCATATGTAATGCTTGGAAATTTTTAATGACGATGGGAAACATTTATCCAAGCAGCAGTGAAAGGGTTAATATGAACATGTAAACTAATCCAATGTTCATATAGTAAACACTTCCAGCTGTGAACCACCATCTATCTAAGCAAAGAACAAAGCAAAAAGCTTAACTAACGCTGAAACAGAAGTTCCACCCAGTCAGCGTAAAGCACCATTTTGACAGAATCAAAATAAATAAATATATAAATACACTCTTAATAAAACTTTCAGTTTCCAAAGTATTGTTACGACAGTGGAAGTCACGTGACACTGGTAACACGTCATGAGTTTCTAGAAGGATCATGACTGTTCCTGGCAACTTTAGTGTTTGCTAGACATCCTCTATTTTTGTATATAAGCCCGGCATAGATAATAGCAGATTGAAGAGAGATATAGAGACAGATAATCGAGTCAAGTGAGCGGTAGTGACCGTAAGTAAAGTGCGTGAATCATTGTAAATTATAGCGTGTGTTTAAGTTAAAGTGACTGTGGAAATTCTGTTTGTTGCAAAGTTGTATTGAGAAAGAATAAAGTAGTTTTATTTAAGAAAGGACTTGTATCGCTGAAGTTCCTCGGGAAGAATTTTTACGGGAAATTAACAAACGACCAGAGACGTAACAGTATATAGAAATTATTATATATCAAATTAAAGCTTTCAGCATGGCTTGAGAAAAATAAAGTTCACTATGAAGGCTTAAAAATTTTTAAAATTTCATGAAAGTATTCTTCCAAAAAGTAAATTTCTGGCAAAAGTTACTATAACTTTATTTACCTGGTCACCTTTCTCCCCCTTCTCTCCTTTCTTTCCTCTTCTTCCTGCCAAACCCTTGAAAATGTTGTGTAAAATATAACAAAATCAGAAATTACAGTGATACTCTCTGTAAGATGTATTATTAACAAGATGAAAGAGAAGTGATATCCTTTGTAAGATGTAAAAACTACAAGATGAAAGACAAGTGATATCTTTTGTAAGATGTAGGAACTACAAGATGAAAGACAAGTGATATCTTTTGTAAGATGTAGGAACTACAAGATAAAAGAGAAATGACATCTTTTGTAAGATGTAGGAACTACAAGGTTAAAGACAAGTGATATCTTGTAAGATGTAGGAACTACAAGGTTAAAGAGAAGTGATATCTTTTGTAAGATGTAGGAACTACAAGATAAATACAACTTTTTAATATCCTCTCATCAACAGAGCAAAAATACTATTTAATCTTTTGTTACATTTTTAAGCATTTTACAAAACTGTCTTTTAACGTAATTAACTTTCATGATACTTTAATAAACCATTTAAGAGAGGAATTCTAGTTCAAGCTATGAAAAACAAAAGGGCTAAAACCCACAGACAAATATGTATAGTATAATTTCATATTAATTTTAGATTTGGAAATGATCCTTTCTCTCTTTTTCCTAAATTTATTCCCTTGTATAAAATTATATTCAATTGAACGTAAATAAAATTAGGAAAACAGATAATCTTAATTTTTAAAGGTAAAATTCTTCAATAATATCTAATACAATTATACACTGAAAAAAAAATGTGTGGTTTACTTGAACGAATCTAGAGAAACAAAACAAAAATAGAATAAAAGAAAAAGGATGAAAAGAAGTTGGCATCTTTTTAACTTACAGAAGTTCCTACATCTCCCTTTTCTCCTTTCGGGCCCTGTTTATCAAAGTGCATAAAAACCCATTAACAAGAATGAAACCAGAAAGTGCATAAAAACCCATTAACAAGAATGAAACCAGAAAGCTATAATGCAATGAAAGTTTGTAAAATGTAGCTAAAATTATTATAGTTTAAAGATTACATTGTATATGAATTTAAATCACTTAAATTAAAATATAATTACAGTAATAACTAACAATTTGTCAATATCATTAAACAACAATGTTACATAAAGGACAAAATAAGGAATAACACATGTTAGTACAACTAACAGACAGACACGCACATAGAGAATAGTATGAACTCCTTGCATGTTGCAGTGGAAAGAAGAAGTAAATGATTGAATGTAAATATGAAGTTTCTTTTTAAAAATTCTGCTGTGCACTAAAAAATTAAAATGTGATAGTTATTCTATTAAGCATATTCAAATAAAGGTTAATGTAATATTTTCTGTATATTCTGTTTTGTGAGGATTCAATTCCTATATGTACATGCACATCAGAAGTATTTCTAAATCCACAAAATTCATATTACAATAGTTGTTTGTAAATACTAACAGCAACCATAAATGTTTCAAACTACTAAGAATTAAAATAATTGATAAACATTTTTTTTTAAATATCCCTCAGCATATCTGTTTCCTGATTTGATTCCAATATATTATGTAACAACATTCTGTTTTCACTGAACCATGTTTACTACGTTGTGATATTTGTAGCCAGCACTAAATTACACTGTCTAGTAACATCGCAGTTTTGTTTTAAATTTAGTCCTTGAAGGGTCATTGGTGTTTCTGGTAAACAAAATTCAAAATAAACTTTGTGGTACACTAAAAGTTAAGTTACTAACGTATTTTTGATTATAATATATCATCAATAAAACTTCCAATAGTTTAAGAACTGTAAAATACTAGTTTTTAAGATAGCAACCAGTAATTAACTTGCTTTATACCTGGAGGAAAGAACCATGTCTTAAGATATGTTTGACATAGTCGATATTTGTAATATTTATAATCCTTAGAAGGATCCAATCATCCAACAGACAGCTTACATCACACCTTACTCTCTGTGATTTTGGAGGAAGATTTTAAGTTGTATAATATTTCTATCTATCTTATATATATTATTAAGACTATCATCCAACAGACAGCTTACATCACACCTTACTCTCTGTCATTTTGGAGGAACATTGTAAGTTATATAATATTTCTATCTATCTTAGATATTATTAAGCCTAATCCAACATGAAGTTGAGGTAGATGCTCTGTAACTAACATTCTTCCCACAATTAAAACTTGCTAGGTCTTTAGGTAATTTCTTATAATCTAACAAATAGTGAGTTATTATATATTATATTTTATATTATTTTTTTATATATTTAATCTTCGATGCTGATGGTGAATGCATCTTTTGCAACTGAAACCTTAGCCTAAAAGTAAATTATTTCAACATAAAAATATCAGAAATAGTAGTGCTTATTTGTTGTTAAGCATAAAGCAATATGAAGGGCTGTCTGTGCTCTGCCCAAAACAGGTATCAAAACCTAATTTTTAGTGACATAAGCTATCAGACTTTCTGCTGAGCCACCATGAGGCAAGTATAGTGAAATCAATGCAAGAAAATATATTTCTTTAATAAAACTAGTGACAATGTCCAAAAATTTAAAAGGTTCAAGTATTATTGGTTTTCTTAATTAGAAGAAAAATACTGGAGCTCTAATAAAAAATAACTTACGATCTGAATAATATCAGAAAAAATATTTAAATATAAACATCCATGATATTTTTAAAATATGAGCATGAAAAATAAGTAAATCAGGAACGAATTAAAGAAAATCTACTTTCTGAAAGTGAATCAGGTTACTGAATTCTGTAAGTGGACGCTGGACCAATCTTTCTCTGTATAGAGCCATAATTACTCGAGTGTTAAGCATCACAATGAAGTTGACCTGTTGGGATAATCTGACTGAAGCCTTTTGGTAAAATATAGTGTAAAAACTGACAAACATGAAATGTTGTATTGATAGCAAAAAAAATCAAACAAATAATATTACAAAAAAATAATAAAAATTAGAACTGTTTAATTAGGTACTGAATAAAGTAAGAGGTCAACACAAAAGACTTTAAGCTTCTTAAAACAAAATTAAAGATATATTATAAAAAAAAGCTGTAGTTTCCACAGAAAATTACAAAAACGAAAAAAAACTTAAATAAAAAACAATTAAAGTAACAAAAGAAAAATGAGCTTCCATAAGAATGCAAAGGATCTAGCACGTTTTTGAAGTTAGGTTCTTTAGTTAGAACAGTTAGAGGAGAGACACTGATAATTACCATCAGGCCAGGGATGCCGTCAGTACCCTAGTGAATCAAATATAAAAGACTACATCAGTAAGTACCATATGGCCATTGCTAAGTGTATCAATACAGTTTTAAATTTTGTTAATTTTATTCTCGTTTTTTTTGGCTATGTGAACTCTAAATGTTTACAGATAAACCGACCTTACAGTCTAATATTACTTCCATCACGATCAAACTATACAACAGTACATCTACAATAAAGAAGTCTCTTTAATGACTCCCTTTTCAAATGTTCGGTGTACAGTATAATTGAAGAAGAAAAACCGTATATTTAAAATTGTTATCTTAAATATACTTGTAAAGAGGTACATTTAGAAGCATGTTTTAATTCAAAGAAGTTTGGACATGGTACAGGGTATTTCAAAATCTATCACAGAAGGTGATCGGTATGTTTTTCTCAACCAGCACATCTTTAAATGAAAACACCGTCTGTTCTCGACCATGTTCAGTGATCTCCACACTATTCTGCACACTGACATTCATTTTATTCAAGTTATAAATCTTGTACCGTAAAGAAAAAGAGAAATAAAAACAATGGTAGTATGTGAGATTTAGATATTTTTTGACGTATATGGTAAGTATTTGAGAGTTTGGTTCTTCCATGGTACCATGAGATCAGATAGTTCCTTCTTGCTCCACACTTAGAATTAGTATGCATAGAGAGAGGGAGCAAGAGTAAAGTAATGATAATAATATCAAAATATTTAGATATTCAGTATAAGACTAGTTTCTAACACCGTGTGCAAGTTAGATGTTAAGTATAAGATTGGTTTCTAACACCGTGTGCAAATTAGATTTTCAGTATAAGATTGGTTTGTAACACCATGTCCTAATTAGATATTCAGTATAAGATTGGTTTCTAACACCGTCTCCTAATTAGATGTTCAGTATAAGATTGGTTTCTAACACCATGTCCTAATTAGATGTTCAGTATAAGACTAGTTTCTAACACCATGTCCTAATTAGATGTTAAGTATAAGATTGGTTTCTAACACCGTGTCAAAATTAGATGTTCACTATAAGATTAGTTTCTAACACCATGTCCAAATTAGATGTTCAGTATAAGATTGGTTTCTAACACCGTGTCCAAATTAGATGTTAAGTACAAGATTTAACACCATGTCCAAATTAGATGTTCAGTATAAGATTGGTTTCTAACAACATCTAATTTGGACAGGTAAGTACAAGATTAGTTTCTAACACCATGTCCAAATTAGATGTTCAGTATAAGATTGGTTTCTAACACCATGTCCTAATTAGATGTTCAGTATAAGATTGGTTTCTAACACCATGTCCTAATTAGATGTTAAGTATAAGACTAGTTTCTAACACCATGTCCAAATTAGATGTTCAGTATAAGATTGGTTTCTAACACCATGTCCAAATTAGATGTTAAGTATAAGATTAGTTTCTAACACCATGTCCTAATTAGATGTTAAGTACAAGATTAGTTTCTAACACCATGTCCAAATTAGATGTTAAGTACAAGATTAGTTTCTAACACCGTGTCAAAATTAGATGTTCACTATAAGATTGGTTTCTAACACCATGTCCAAGTTAGATGTTCAGTGTAAGATTGGTTTCTAACACCATGTCTAAATTAGATGTTAAGTATAAGATTGGTGTCTAACACCGTGTCCAAATTTCCTTGAAGAAAACTTGGGATTCCCAATGTGTCTCTGATAAAATTTTATTTCCATTGGCCAAGCAGTATTTAAGATATAGTTATTTTAAGTATATATACTTATATTCTTTATTTAATATTTATTTATTTTAAATATATATATATATATATATTGTTTATTTCAGACATAATTATTTTAAGCATATATATATATATATTCTGTATTTAAGACAATTATTTTAAGTATATATATTATTTATTTAAGACAATTATTTTAAGTATATATATATTATTTATTTAAGACAATTATTTTAAGTATATGTATATTCTTTATAATCACCTTGTATAATCTATCTACATGAA